CAAGTACTAGTCCAAGCTTTCAGGCAATTCTCTAATAAAGATTTATAACTAACCGCAATAATAAGAATACAATAATACGTGGATATCAGCATTCTTTTCAGAATCTTTCTTTTTTTGTGTAATTTTTTTTCTAGTCAAAAGAAATATCTTATAAATAAAAAATGAGCGTTTTTATAATTAATTTAAGTTAATTATTTTTCTTCAAAAATCGCCTTATAAGGAGTTCTGTCGCGCCTAAAAATTTCAATAAAAATTTCCTTTACGTAAAGGTTTGTCGAGTTTTACAAAGGCTGTCTTGAACTCTAAGTAAGTTGGCGCTATATCACAATCAGCCGGATGGATTAATTTCTGTAAAATTTCAAAGCCATTTGTTATTGAAATAGTTGAACTCATATTACTGAACTCGATTTTAATATACTTAGGGCTGACTAGAAGTTCGTAGAGTGATACCTTAATACCTTACAATAAGGTTAGAATCTGTTATGAGAGGACGGTTGTGTATAATACTTTATCATAGGTCACTTCTTTGATAGTGCGTTATTGAGATTTTCGAAGACTTCATTGTGCCTTTTTCCAGTTCATTTCGAGTGGCTTTTCCGGTGATTAGGCAAAAGATGAAGCGGCGATATAGAAGTCTCACATGTTTATTACATGATTGAAATAAAAGATCATACACCTATTGTGCTACGTATTTAAATGTATCACAAGAAGGATTATCGGTGTTTGCAAAACAAAACAATCAGGTGTGCTCTGGTTCTGTTTTTTGGATCTATCTTTTTTCTCAAATCGTATAAACATCAATGAAATAACTCCTAAACAAGTTAGTTCTAGTTATGAGCATCAGAATGATATAACATCACTCTCTGTATATTTTTCATGCAAAAATAAATAGATAGTTTTTTCTGTGTGAACGATTCCTGTAAAATAAACTATTTTTAATGTTATAGAAGATAGATCTTTTCTAAAAATGTTAATTGTAGGTTGTTCACTTAAGAGAAAATGCTGATTGTCAATAATCATTCATTATTGTCGTGATGAAGCATAGGCATTACGAATATCGAAGAGGCATTATCTTACATCAGAGAACAACTGTTATATTATGTATATAGGCGATATTTTTTGTAAAAATTAAAAATAGCACTAAACACTAAAATAACACACTGTTCGACACGGCTTTCATGTTGACAAAACGAACATGATGTTTATTTGCAGTAAAAACAATTTATTGGTCGCATATTTTATATAACTTTTAAGTTTTGAATACATTTTGTCAAGCAATGGTGTAAAAATATGAAGTTTGGTGCAGAAACGTTTATTCACATTTAAAACATAATATCAGGGATCACTGCATGGTATTGATAACCACCATGTGGAAGTGAAGATACTCTATCATGTTTTGTAAGAATTTGAGGAAGATAAGGTGTTGATTTTTCTGTATGGTACAACAGGCTCAAGAATACTATGTTCGAATTTCAATGAACGAAGGTGTAAAAAATGCGCTCAAGACGTTGCTTGGACATATTCTTGATCGGAAAAATACTGATTTCACCTAGGCGGGAAATCGATATTACTAATTCTCCTCGTTTTATAGATAAATCTAAATTTAATAGGGAGACTTGCTTATTTCTTTCGCTTCGTGGCATTTCATCGAAACCAACAATAACCTGACAGTTGAGAAATGTGACTAAAAGACCATAGCTTGACACATTTCTTATATTTTCTATATCGTCGCGATAAACATTACATAATGTAATTAATGTAACATAATAATTGTGTAATTATTTACCTGTTGATCTTATTAGTGTTTCAGGACAACCAATTAGAATTGGATCAAGTTCTTGTATCGATGTGTCACAAACATTTTGTTGTCTGCATACAATTCGATTAGCTTCTTGATGACCGTCTGTTAGAAAGACTGTTGAACAATTTGACGGGCACCGAGTGGATAATGATTTGTGATTTGTCCAAAATGACACGAATAACTTGTAGAAATATTCATTATGTTGACGAAAATAAATATCTCTGACATGTTTTTGAGAAAATGGGGATGAAATTTCTAATTTGTTCAAATCGGTAAGCATAAAAACAAATTTTGTTAATTGAAACACCAACCAGTTAATCTGGAATGATCTTTGCTCCATTTTAGCACTAAAAAACGTGTTTTATTTATTAACAGGAAAGCTGATATTGAGCAAAACAAATACTGAGCTGATTAAGTTGAAGTTAAGTTACCTTTGATTGACAGTGGCTTTGTCAGTTGTAGAACTATACAATAAATTTGGCTTTGCTGTATCAGTTGTTCGTGCTAACTTTCTTTGCGCTAATATTTCTATTTTATTATTATACGCTTCAGTGAAACCAGCAAATGAAATATGACATATTATTAATTCGGTATCGAAATCAATCATTAATTCCTGTTCATATACTATTTCTCCCGAAAAATATACAAAATCGTCATTTTTTATCGATTGTGGTGTTACATATTTCAAACTACTACTTTCATAATGCATCGGATAAATTGTTATAAGTTTCCAGATTAACTGGTTGGTGTTTCAATTAACAAAATTTGTTTTTATGCTTACTGATTTAAACAAATTAGAAATTCCATCCTCATTTTCTCAAAAACATGTCAAAGATATTTATTTTCGTGATTGTTATAAGATAATTGTAATAAATTCTATAACTTTACAAAGAAAGGTCATGTAGAGCTGGGAGACGTCTCATTTTAATCAGAAATGTGCGGGCTATAATTATGCCTCATTATGAAAGGTTTTGATTATTTTTCAGAATTTCTCAAAAACTGGTTTTGCAGAAAACCGAGACTTCAAGAGCCATGGGTAAAAATCAAATCATTAGTTTTTTGCGCTTCACTTGGCCTTTCGAATGGCGTAAGAATGAAGGCGCTAGTTATTATGTGGAATCTACAAAATTTGATTTAATGTAAGATGCCCAAAGTCGAGGTATTTTGCTTTGAAAATTTTTCTAATCGAGATAAAGCTTGAGAACAGTCGTAAAAACAGTTGCCTATGATCAGTTTTACCAGGAATTTGAATATAATTTTAGAAAAATTTTTGAATTTAATTTGACGGAGATAGAGCTTTTGAGGCGGCATATTTTTCATTTTTGAGAAGTTCTCATTGTCGTCCAATTTTCTCTATGAAGTGACTTTCAAAACTGAAAAGATCAGCGGACCAAGACGCTTCAGAAAATCTGTCATTTAAAGGAAAACAAAACATGTGCAAATTTCGAATTACGAATCACCTTACGATAATCCTCACAATAACAATATGATATTGTACATTTTTCAACTTTATCATGTTTGATCAATGTTTTAACTGTCTTATCCATTTGTATTTTTAATTGTTTTTGACATTTGACACAATTATTTGTGAATGGTAACAAGTTCACTAAATGTACATCACAGTTGACAGTTGAATACGTTTGACGATAATCGACAATCATTTTTTCAATATCATAATTAGATGTAAACCATTTGTTGTATACTAGATTTCTTGAAATAAAACTAATAGTTGAATTTACACTACGTAGTTGATAAATTTTTTTTAAAATGCAGATTTATCATGTTTAATATGTGCAAATTTTTGTTATCTAAGTGTTTCAGTAAGGCGTCATTCAGTTTCATCACACAATATCTTTCGTCTAATTCCATGGTGTTTAGTAAATTGAGTAAAGTTTTCTGCTGATCAGTTAGTTTCACATCTTGATCTTCCCAGTCCATGTCTATGATGAATTGTATTATAGCAGGTGATATATGAAGTCAAACGCTTTTTCTACGAATAAACGATATCTTAAGCAATATAATTAGACAAGCGAAAAGTTCAGTTTGTTTAACTAAGATTATTAGCGTATTCCATGAAAACGTTCTTATCCTTCATACCACATATTCAGATTTCAGTTTTATCCCATAATATTTTGGACATGCAATATTCCCTATCATAGATTATCTTAGCTTTTGTTTGACAAGTACACATAGTTGATTATTATTATGTTTATTTTCGTTTTTTGTTTCTCTTTCAGTATGAAACAAAACTTTCATTCTACTATTACCAACTTTTACTACTACACACAAACAACACATTCTGAACGTTATTTGCATTAAAAAAACACATTTAGATAGAGTTTGAACATGTTCTTTTAATTCAGACCGTTTTTTTGTTTTTTTTGCTGGGCTTTCAGTGGATAATCGTCTTAAAGAACGTACGGCAACAAATTGTTTCTCCGTGCCCCATTCACTATCAGACGTTTCTACTCGTTTTGTTAATTTTCTTGATTGTCGTTGAAAATCATCAGTATCTAGAAGGATAGTTTTAACTTGAAAAAATGCAAGAAGCGTCCTAACGATATCTACACTTACTAAATGTTGTCAATTGTAAATATTCAACTTGCATAATTGGTAAGAACTGCCATTTATCACGATCAAATCGTACATATCGAAAATAAAATGGATCATTCTGTAATAAATCAGCTGTCTCGGATGTTATTTTCTATTTATTTGCTGTTTTTATATTTTCATCTTATGTGGTAAACTGACTAATATGGTTGCTCCATGTTGTACCACCCTAAAATGATGCAAGGTTTCGATGATGATAAAGCAAGATAAAGTGGCTAACAAAAAAGCACTAAACAATTTAACTTTTAATAAATTCTCTTTGCTACTGACGCTACTGAAGTAGCAATTGTTTTTGAGCAAACAATGCTTATAGATTTAGCTAATTTTTGTTCAAAAGTCAATGCATCATGATCTGAATCAAAAGCCGGAAATGCTCTGGAATAGAAAAATAAACAATAATTAGGTATTACAACCAATTATACATTAGTTTTTACATCAGAGCTTCATGCTCCTTTTAAAATTAAAAGTTTATTTTTTATAATAGTTTAAAGAACATTTAGTGTCCAGTCCATATTTATTAGCTACTGGTTACCTTTTTCCATTGAAACATTACTCCTATAAGCAGTCTGAAAGGATTTACACCGCTGATTGGGAGTGATATGTGACATGAGAAAGGTGAACTTTTGAACTAATTGAATGGCAATGACTTGACTGGAGGAAGCAACCTATAACTTTTATTAAAAGAACCTTCTGAAACTAAATAGTGTTCTATTGTTATTTAAAATGAACGTGGGAACGCCACCGATAATTCACCAGCTAGAGTCGTTTAATTTGAGTTCATGCAATCATTATTCAGCAATACAAATTTTAGATGATTGATTCTGCAATAGATTGTTGATTTATTACATCATTTCTATCAGGAAGGCTATAACGGTCGTGGAAGACCGTCGTTTGATATATGGATATAAAAAAAGATGCAAAATTGGACAGAATTCATTGAGTTTTGAAAGATGTGATTATTGTTAAAAAGATGCTAAACAGCGGCAAAATACATGTTATATATTATTTGTATCAATTAAAATGAATGGTTTAATGATGAAACATTTTTAATCAGTACCAAATAACAACTCATTCTTTTTTGTAGGATATATTAATGCTAAATATAAAGTCTGGCTGATTTATGATTCAATATTAGAAAATGATTGAGCGACAAACATGCTTACATGGTTACTGTAACTGATATTTAAACATTCAAGCGCCCTATTATTATCCATTTCAAAAAAGAAACACTATAGCCATTTGTTTAATAACTTTTTCTAGGATGTAGTTACGGAGCTGCGGTTTTCACTATTCGAAAGAAAAATGTTAGGACAATAAGAAAAACCAAAAATTATTGTCCCAAAACCACCTGCAGGTGGTGCACCCTGCGAAGATATTTTGCGAAAGATGTCACACCACTGAAAACGTTTCGGATTTTAACTTTTGAGACGACAGGCAGGTAGCCTGGACTGACATATTCGTTTCTAGAGCAGTTCCAGGTCGTTAGCTTACAAGGTTCCGGAGCTAGAAAGGTTCTCCGGAGACCACGCTAACTCGGTCCGGACACGTCGGAAGATCTCGGAAAGACTTGAAACATAGGTTACCGAATGTGCTGATCAACGTGGCAATGTTTGTTTTTGACTAAAAGTTGATCCAAGGTCACCAGGGTATTTTTAATGAAAAAACGGATTTTTGCATGAAGCCTGTCAAAACTAGAGTTGCCGTATATCAGCCATTTTAAGTCAGAAACACACCAAATTTTCGGCAGATATATGAAAAATGACCATAAATCGAATAGCGCTTGTAAAACTGCAAAATTGTGGGTTTTCCAGACTAAGGTTTTACAGGAGATTTCCAGAAATCCTCTGACGTTTAAACCCGCTGAATCTCATATTTGAGAACTCGTTCAGCATCAATACACTATTCTAAGGTTTTCTAAAAATTTCGCAGGATGCACCACCTGCAGGTGGTTTTGGGACAATAATTTTTGGTTTTTCTTATTGCCCTAACATTTTTCTTTCGACTTGTGAAAACCGCAGCTCCGTAGCTACATCCTAGAAAAAGTTATTAAACAAATGGCTATAGTCTTTCTTTTTTGAAATGGATAATACTATTATAGGTATAGGTATATTTATTACAAATTACATATAGCATAACTGCAATATATCAGAAAATAGTATTATCGTTCAAAAATCTATTTTATTTCAAGTAAATAGTTATACTATTGATAAATCACAACACCTCAATGAAATAAATAGCAAACACTATCTATAAGAAGACAGGTTAATTCTTTGACTTTTAAAACATGAGATAAAAATTAAACTTATTATTTTATAAAGTTGTGATGATCCTGTTTTATCGCACTTACTTCAGAAAACCTTCATGTCGTTTTTCCTTCACTTCCTTTTTAGATATCGTACGTGTAACAAAATAATCACCGGTTTTAATTAATCCTTCTTTGACAAGCATTGCCAAAACTTCATCTCTCCATTTTGTATGTGTAGATACATGTATCAAATCAGTTTTATCAAATAAGACAGATTTTTGATGCAAAATCTTTCTAGCACATTCTAAAATTTGCGATGTTTTATCTTGTTTCGACTGTGAATGACTTTCATTTGCATCTAAGTCTGAAAGAACAAAAGTAAGAATGTAGAATTTTGTTGTTAGCACATCTCGATTACTTTCGATATTTTCAGCACTTGAAGTTAAACTATATGATAAGCCAGTCGTTTCATTCAGAATACTCGAGTGATTCGCCGATTCATCTTATAAAGTAATACGAAGAAAAGGGTATACGAGAAAAGGGTTAAAATGCCTGGTAGTTTATATGTGTACGAGAACTCACAAAAAAACACGATTAGTACCAACACAGCTCTTTGCTTACCATCAGCCGTTCCAGTTCGAACACTTTTCATTATTCCAATAATTCCTAATGTAGAGTCAACAGAATTATCGAAACCGTCATCAATTTGTAAATTTGCTATAACAAAGAAGCAAAAAAGATGATGAGGTAAGCAGTATACGAAACCACTTCTTATTCACCTAATAATTGATTATCGTCCCTTGTTTGTGATGCAGGACGATGATTAATATCGGCTAAAACATAACTTACACTTAGAAATGCTTTCTAAAGAACCATTCTGCTTACATATACTTGTATTCTGTTTATTCTTGCTGGTCTGTTTGTTAATAAAAACATAATAACTACTCAACAGCAAAAGTTTACAAGATTAAGTTACTTGTATCAGATATTGTCTGCTGGATATTTTTTGTGAACATTTCAATGTGTTCTGACGTCATCATTTGCATTATCATACTCATAAATGCATTTGTACTACCATCAGACGATGGCATTAATGATGTCGACGTTAATGCGCTGGTAGTGGCTGTTTGTTTTATTGATATGCTAGACGATGTGTTCGGTTTCGAAGTTTTGAATGTAGGTTGTTTTGATGCTGTACTTTCATCTGTCTGAATTATAAATGGAAAAAAACTTGTGATTGTTGGCTTATCATAAAAATAGATTGATGTAGGATCTATTGAATATCGATCTGCACCATTAACTAACGTTTGCACAATATCACCATTTTTCAAATGTTTAGCAATAACATCTTTCAAGTCAGTCGAATATTTATGATACTCTGGAATCAATAATCCACATTGTTCAAAATGTTGTATAGCTAATTTGGCTAAGGAATTTTGTGATGGTATTGAATGTTGTCGATAAAGGTGATCATATGTTGCCAAGGTAATACCATGTTTTTTCAAATTTTCTCCAAATCTACCTCGTTCATTTGGATCAGTGGGTGACGGAATTTTCCATATCGACGTTCTTGTCTTACCAGCTGCATCTAACAAAAATGGACCTTCCACAATTAAACCATCATCTTTCATTGTTTTAATCAAAGGTCGGGCAACATGATGACGATTATGAAATATTGCGTTAAAAGAAAAAGAACAAATAAGTTCATCCAGTTAGAAGAAAAACATCTTTCGACATAGCTTCAACAGAAGTTAAACATTTCAACTTTAGTAAGATACCAAATCATTAAAAAACCGTACCCACGTAACCATATCGATCAAAAACATGTGCAGATTATAATAAGATCTTTTATCTACGTCGAATGAATACCTGACGCCGAATCTATGACATAAAGAAAACGACCGTTCATACATTCAAAGGATGACCCTTTAGATAGAATGTAAAACGGAGATGAATGGATAGATGAACCCGTAACTCTTGGCTTTTGCTCCTCAATCACGTCTCTAACTTTAGTACTTTATACGTTTACTTAGGCACGAGTTGAAAAAAACTTCGTGATAAACTACTTACGATTACTTAGCAATTGTGATAGTAGGTGTTCCATATTTTGTTCTTTTTGCTTTAGTTAAGAATAATTCATTAACTTTTGAACTCGCATTTTCAATAAATGAATTATTGATATTTATATCATCGTCGTCACCTTCATCAAATACAATATCACTTGAAACTTCTGCTAAAACTTGAAATATATTTGAATAGAGTTGAAATAAACAACATAGTCTTGGAAATATGGTTGGGATTTTAACATATAAATCGAGGGCTGGCAGAGTTCGTAGACGTATAGAATTCAACAATATTAACCAGAATTTAGCATAGCTACAGCAGAATTTACTATTGAAATATGGAAAGATAACTTTTAGTCAGTTGAGAACCATATCCCGATCGGGATATTAGCCACATCTATATTTAATATTTCTACAGCGGAAGAAATTCCTGAGCAGACACTTTTGTTTGGAAAAAAAAGGCCGTAGACGGGAAAGAAAAATCTAGTGTAGCTTTTCTAATGATGATATCAAAACTTTCCGCGAACATAATCATTTTCTCGCTAATGAATTTTATTTAAAAAAAATCGAATTTATATCTCGATTAAGCTATATGTTTTTTTTGGGCTCTATCCTGATCGGGATATAGACTATATGAGACTCTACTGTCCGTAGGGCTAGAAAAAAGTCTAGAATTTAGGAATCTTTTTGAGCTGCAATTCTAACGGGATATTTCTTAGTAGTTCACTCTAACCCATCCAACTTCGAAGAATTCTGGTGTCTATTTCACTAAATTCTGCTGGGTGATGTACGATACACCAATTTAGGATTCCAAATTCTGTTGTATGTCACTAAATTCTGACGGAGATATACTCGTGGAAGAAAAATAAACTGAGTAAATTGCTCCTAAACTCTGTTGGGTGAAAAATTCTTACGAGAGTATATATCCGTCAGAATTTAGTGATATACAGCACAATTTAGGACCCTAAATTCTGGTGTATCATACAACACCCAGCAGAATCTAGTTAAACAGTGTTCTAAAATCTGGTTTGATCAAAATATCACCACTACTGAACCATCAGAATTTAGGGTACGAATGTTTGCTAAATTCTGATGACTAGAATTCTAGTTTCACTAGATCTTAGCCACTGCTGCGATAAAGTCAATAAAGACTACACTAGGTGTGCATTTTTGTGAGCTCCCAGAAAAAATGTTGAATCAGATGTTATAAGTGGCCTTATGCTCGAAACAAATAAAATAAATATGATTCTTTCAACTTTGACTGTATAACAGCGAATTCTAGATAAGTGGTAAAAAGCTCAATTCCAAGCTCAGGGATTACTGATAACCTAGAAACGAATAGATTATTTTACCGTATGCTTCCAGTTTCTGACGTTCTTCATCAGACATTTAAATAAATATAATTTGTTTGCCGATGATAGATTTTTTCTTAATGCTAATATATTCACATTATTTAATATAGATGATTGACTTTCAACAAATTTTCCACCAATTTCAACTGCTTTTAAATAATCATCCTTAAAACAACTGTTCTACGTTTATTGCTGCACGTTTTACTGGTTTAAACAAACGTGTTTTACCACTTCCTAAATATAAAAGGTTGTTAATTAAATGTGGTATTTTGTTCATGAGTTAAAATCATCAATTTTCATACGCAAAGTAAGAATGACTAAGACTTGTTCAAAAAACATAAACTTACCGGATGGACCTATCAGAACCAAATACGAGTTTGTTGGATGACCTTCATTTGATGATTAATATTTAAAATAAGAATTTTGTGAAAAATGAGACAGAAGAGCCAGAGACACAAAGAAAAGGCTATTCATATTCAAACCATTCATTTCAAAATAATGTTCAAACAGTTTCATTTCATCTTCTGTTAATATATCTTTTAATTCAAATGCGACATCTGCCGCTTTTTGTATATTTTCCTTAATCATTTCATTAAAATTCGGCGCCGACATTTTAGATATAATGCACACAATCTTGATAAAGAAGAATTTCGTTATAAATAAAATGACGTTTACGCATCAGTCACTTAAAAAATGCAGTCGTGTTGTTAATTCAATACAGTAAAATTTCTTAATTTCGAACTCTCTTGTTCTCTAATATCATAACTTTATTCTTCACTAATTTTCTCGCCAAATAATTTCTTGACTACCTGTCTACTCAACATTCGCATCGAGCGCGTATTAGACTATAATATGACTGGTCAAAAACAAGATTTATTTAGTTAAACCTGACTGGATCTTTAACGGAAGCATAAAAATAAATGAAGAGAATACTCTTTGTCTTTAGCTTCTACTAAGATTAGCAATAGTTTTGCTCAGAAAAAATCTAGTCTAAATATGGAAAACTGTAACTAAACTAAACTTAATGTTCACTAAAAGAGGAAAACTGTAATTATTTGGAAACAAATCCAAAGTCAAAAAATTATTTTTTTTCAAAATAATCAACCTGTGAAGCAGCGTCTTGCTTAACTCGAAAAGAAAGCCGAGAAAAAGCATGCTTTCTTTTAGCACTCAGCGTTTAACCTTCGAACGAAACAAAAAATGGATTTTAGCAGGGCTATTCTCTCTTTTGATGAACATGAAAAAATTCTTCTTCAAAAATCTTTTATTCGCCTCTTAGCAAATAGCTTATAATAAGATAAGGCGTTATCTTACACTAATCAGAAATAATTATTCTAGTTTTAGTTAGACATGCAACGGTAACGGCTACCGTCATCGGTCTTAACGTTACACCGTATCTTACCGGTAACCGATTTTACCGTGACTCTAATGTACTAAAAATAATTTTGCTATAGTGAAATTTATAGAGTGAATACTTCAAAATCAAAGAAAAATTTAGTATCAAATTCACTTCTGCTTTTCATGTTTTTCGGCAAAACAAGCGAGATACTCGCTTACACCATAAATTAGCAACATAATATTGTAAACAGCGAATTAGCTATAACGAACTAGATTTTCGATTTATTTTGAAATATCCATCCCATGCATTTTTAGTATAGCTAAACTATGGATTTCACATACAGCCCCTATGCGAAGCTATAAAACCAGGTAAACTAAAACTAGGTATGAAACGGTAACGGTAATTAACTGGTTTATCGTTACCGTGTTACCTGTACCTTACCAGTTTAACGTTCGTTATGAATGGAACAGAGAGTGAGATTAGCTAGAGAGTATCTATATTTTAACGGTTTCTAATCTTTTCTATCGCTTCTCTTTCGATATTTTATCGACTCAAAGAGTCAATAGAGTAGATTGAAATAGTGTTTTCATTTCTTAAGAAATGAAAACACTATTTTAATCTACTCTATTGACTCATTGAGCATATACAGACTGAAGAAACAAAGTATATTGACAATTTTTGGGGG